ACATATTTGCATCAGGCTAAATATTTTGATAGTGCTGAAGAATGTTAACACCTTAGTACATGTGAGGAGGGAGATTTTTACAAGAACAGGAAAGTCTTATCTATTTTATTTGCTTACTCTGACTCAGTGTGAGTGCTTTGTTCAGAATCACTTAGCAAAGAAGCCACCATTTGAGTACAGTGGCAGTAGCTGTTGCTGCTTTATTCCTCTAGGGTTGTTTTGGGATGGATTGCAAATAAGGAGGCCTTTCCTCTGGAGAAAGTTTGCAAGATATCCTTAAGAGAAACGGATTAATAGAGCACCTACGTTAACTTTCAAAACCCAAGTTCCTCAAACTCCTTGTCAGGAGTAACTTTTCAGTTAGTGCATGGTCTTTCTGTGAATAACTGCAAACCAGCTGTGATTTCTGAGCTTGGTAACTGACTTGAGCTGGTGAATTCCAGGTATATTCCAGGCTCAGCCTGGCTCTCTGGGTTTGTTGGCAAAGGGGAAGGCTGGGGAGGTAGAGGCAGTACTTGAGCTGCAAATTGAGTTCTCTGCTTTCATTGATGTGAAAGGAGACAGTAGGCAGAACATGCTTGGGACTTCTCTATGTGTACTTCAAGGCAGAAGCTTAAATACCCTTCTGCTTCAATCAGGAAGGACATTAGCTTGCTGCCAGCCCTGCTCTTGTCATGGGAGCTGCTCTACCTGGTTTTGAGGAAGCAGCTTCCAAGTGGCAGGTAGTTGCTGCTTTGTTTGAAGTGACACTGCTCCTTCTGTGGCCAAACTTTCATAAACAAGGGTACTGATTTGTATCATTCCTTTTCAACGGTGCTGAGGAAAACAAACTAACGTGGCATGATTATGTATAGAAATAAAAGCTGCTGCTATCCTATAATTAAGCATATTGCCTGGTGTAAGAATAGGGTGGAATTTGGAGTCCTGAGTTTTCCTGTAGGTGACAACTTGCTGTGACTGTAGGCAAATCACTTCGCTCCTCTGCGGCTTTATCTCTGCTTGCAAGCTGGAGATGAAGCAGCTTCTGGCAGTTCTGTGAATGCCATAAAGTGCTTCTGCCCTTGATAAGAGTAGCTTGAGCCCTGTTGGTAAATGTGCTGTGGTTTCCCTTTGTTCTGTAGATGCACTGGGACTTTGACATGTACATTCGGAACCGTGTTGACACATCCCCCACGGTGGTTCCCTGGCACACCATGCGCAAGCACTTCCTTGTCTTTCTGAGCACCATGCTGATCATGTTTGCTGTCGGGCAGATCTATCCCTCCTACAGGCCTGTGGTGAGTAAAGGGAAGAAAAATAGCTGTGTTTCTTGTCACTGCTGACGCCCAGAAGAATGGTTTTGCCAAAGCTGAGTGGCAGGTGTGAATGTAAAGCCCTGCTACTCGCAGAGGGTGGGCCAAGGGGTGTCCTGGGGCCTTTTCCAACCCAAATTGTTCTGTTAACTGGCTTTGCTCATCTCACAGATTGTTTCATAGTGAGCAATTCCTGTTCACATGGAGCTAATTTTAAGCTCTGCTTCTTACAGTACCCCACCTTTGGTCTAAGTGTTCTCCTTCCCCATGTGCATCTCCCTCGTGTGTTATCCTCCCCCTCTGCTCTGCCCTGGTGAGGCCCCATCTGGAGTCCTGTGTCCAGTCCTGGGCTCCCCAGTTCAAGAAGGACAGGGAACTGCTGGAGAGGGTACAGCAGAGGGCTACAAAGATGACCAGAGGCCTGGAGCATCTCCCTTATGGGGAAAGGCTAAGGGAGTTGGGTCTTTTTAGTCTAGAAAAGAGAAGGCTGAGGGGGGAGCTGATCAATGCTTATAAATACTTCAAGGGTGAGTGTCGGGAGGATGGGGCCAGTCTTTTTTCAGTGGTGCCCAGGGACAGGACAAGAGGACACGGGCACAAACTGGAACAGAGGAAGTTCCACCTAAACATGAGGAAGAACCTCTTTCCTGTGAGGGTGGCAGAGCCCTGGAAGAGGCTGCCCAGAGAGGTGGTGGAGTCTCCATCTCTGGAGACATTCAAACCCACCTGGACACGTTCCTGTGCAACCTGCTCTGGGTGGACCTGCTTTGGCAGAGGGTTGGACTGGATGATCTCCAGAGGTCCCTTCCAACCCCATATCATTCTGTGATTCTATGATCTGCTTGAGGGAGATGCTTTATCTCTTCCTTTGCCGTGTGTATTTAGTTATATCTCATGATCTGCATCATTTGGAATGTACTTCTGAGAAATACATCTGAATACACAAAGAGCTTTTGCCATTTATTACCCCCATGCTGTGAGATGAACTGTTGGTTGATATTTAATGCAAGAACACCTTGATATTTCTTTTAAAGGACGTGGGCTTATACAAAGAACTCTGTTTCTTAATTTACTTTACTTGTGCTCTAATATTCATACTGAAGCCCTTAATAAATAGAAATTTAAGTAGTAAATGACAAGTCTTGATTTGGGCAGGGGTTGGATGGGATGAGATCTTTTTCCCCTTATCCCTTAATTTTCTTGGTGAATGTGGTGAATTTCCTACTCTCTATCTCTCCTTGTAGGGACCGAAGCAATATCCCTTCAATGACCTGTATCTGGAGAGAGGAGGAGACCCCAATAAAGAGCCGCCGGTGGTGACGCACTATGAGATCTGAAAGCTGTTGACACGCCGTGTTTCTCCTGTCTCAGCTCTGCTGGGGATGGCACCTTCTCTAGAGTTCACTGTAGTGTATGTTAATGCTTGTTCTTCAATGTCCAGCCTCTAACTGCAGTGAAATATATCTGTGATACCTACCCTGCTGGTTGTCTTCTGTTGGTTTGAGGAGGCTGAGCAGTGGCCAATGAAACTGAAACCACCTTTGCCATTTTTCTAAATGGGCTCGTGTCTGTGGGGCAAAATTCTGAGTGTGGCCCTCGGGCTGCTGCTCATTTATCAACCCAGTGCACAAACATCTCTTAGTAAAAGCCTCTTCATGTAGGAGATATTGCCCATGAGCAAGTGGCTTTGCTGCAGGTGCCACTTGGAGTTGAACTATTTTCACCATTTAGTGGGAAATGACAGGTAGAACCAGACTGGTGAGTGCCAGTGCTTGGGAGGCTTGTACTATGGGGATGAATGTTCTCCCTTACTGGGGTCTGGTTTTGATCTCTTCCTGGTCTAGATGACCTCTTAACTGGAGTTTCCACAACCAGTAGGGAGCACTGGTGAGGTGCAGAGCTCTGCAACGTATAGCTGATGCCAAGAGCAGTGATATGGAAGGGCTAAGGAGCAAGTCCAACCCTGGCCAGACCTGTTCTGCTGCTCCTGGGCTTTGGTTGAAGAGCACCAATGCCCAAGGTGCTCCTCTATGGCCCAAGCTCTTCCACCAGGGTTGGAATTGCACCTGACCCATGGAGTTCTGCCCGTCTTGCTGTAAACCACTGGTCTAGGGCCTCCTGTGGCTTCATCAGAGGTTTGCTCATAGGTTTTTCCAGCTCCACTCTTCCCTAAACATAAGTTTTTGGAGCTTTTTTTCCCCTTGTCACTGGAGGAGATGGTACCCTCAGTAGTGTTTTACAGTGGAAATCCTCTCAGCTATGCCTTAGACCTACTCTTTGGCTGCAGGAGTGGGTGATGGCAGAAGATTAAGGGCTTGGGCTCTTCTGGGTGGTTCCTATAAACCAGTTCCTCTGCTCTCAACACCCTGCCATGACTCATAGTTTTGTGCTTGATGAGAAGCAGGTATTTGACAGCAGTGATTCATGATTTTTCAACCTGTAAATAGATATATTTTTTTTAACCCCATATTCTAAAGGACAGTT